GGAAGTGGAGGAGCAGGAGTCACAGCTCAAGTCATTCAGTGGGAAGAGCCGAGGCCACCCACGGCCACAGCCTGCGTGCTTACCAGCTGGCCCTGTGTCCTCCATACGCCTACTCAGGAGTTTCTGGGAGGGGGTCTGATTGCCTGAGTCTACCTTGTACATCCCCAGGCCAATCTGAGGAATGGAGGGGGAGGATCAGGCCTGTCTGGCTACTGTGATAGGAAGTGGACACCACTACCCACCAACACCAACCAATGGGAAAATCCTTTAAAATAAGAAACCAGGGTGCTAAAAGGGAGCAAGACTCTGCCAAAGGACAAATGTTGCTATAATAATTAGTAAAAGAATGTGACACTGCCATAACCATCCAAGCATCTAAAGCAACTTTTCTCAAAAGATGTAGGTCCCTATAGAGATAAGCACTTGTCCACAAGGATTGCAGTGGCAGAGAAGGACCATTTCAAAAGGCCTCAGAAATGAAAATTCTTTAAAAGGTTTTTTAACCAGATTAGATGCAAAGTTGCCGGTTTCATCCTCACAAGGTGTCTATCTTGTCCCTCTCTCAGAACTGCAGACTGAAGGGGTCTTCTGCCCAATAACCCGCCCCCCAAGAATTAGAAGATTCAGAAACCATAACCACAAATAAACTCATCTCTAGAAAATTATTCATTGTATCACTTTTGGGTTAGAAATTGGCCCAATTTTCTTTTCTTATTGGTTAGTCTCTTAACAATTATTTTGAATCTCTACCAGCAATCCCTTCTTTTAAGCAGATTTTGACTTTTACTAGTTCTAGATATAAGAAAGAATAGAGTTTTATCAGGACTAAAGACAAATAGCTTATTGAAATTTAAAAATAATACTATTTTGTTACATTTGTTGACTGCTGTATTCATAATTCACACGATTGCTAAAAATCTAATGCAAAATTTAGACTATTGACTTTTATAGTTCTTTGGAACCATGCTTTATCTAGCTCCAAAATTAACTTACTTCACAAACACAGAGCTGCTGACTTATGTCACCATAGTCTTTCCTCATTGTGAATGAAAGCAATACATATTTGTAATTGTTCCCTGGAGATTTCTTGATACAGTTACTACTATCAATAAAAGGAAATTCCTTTTCTTCAAAACAAAATGACATGGATGCGGTGCCTCTAATTTTCAACTGAGAATTTATGTTCTGTGAAATTAGATTAGTTGGTGGTACATATAAATATTTTTATTTCAAAAATAGTAATTTACTAGAAAAATGGGCAACAAACAGAACACTGTCCAGGCCAACTAGAAAGTTTCCAGAGCTGTGAGTGAGCTGATTTTATGCACATGACAATGTGGTGAAAAATGGAGATGGATTTTTATGATATGTTGAGACTTTTTTTCTTTAACTCCAGATGTAACTTGTCTCATCTGTTCTTATGTTTCATACGCTCCTTGTTTCGAGGATATGTAAGGAAAAGAATAAGGGCCTGTGGTTACGTTTCAATGGGATACTCCTCTAACAGGTCATCTCAGAAAGCACATATGAATGTTACTGCTTTAAATATATACAAATCTGATGGCCTACAATACTTATTAGTTGCCTGGTGGAGACAAGTAAGAAAGTAGAAAATCTAGCCCTCACTTTCACAGAAGTGATAATATCTATAGATCTTCCCCTTCCAATTTGAAAAACATACCTCTTTCCCTAACCCAGTCTTTTTCTTTTCAAAACCTTTGAACAGGTTTTTCTCAGTGAATTGGTAGGCCCTCAGCGGTTTTAATAACCAATATTAGCACAACCAAATCAGCAGGTCTGATACAGTGATTAAAGTGGCTTGGTGTCCTGGATACCTAGAAACTCATGGCCAAGAGGAGGCTATTCCCTTTTACTGGCTTCTCACAATGCATAATTTCCAATTCCAGACTGAGATGTAGAATAGGGGCTGGTCCACTCAGCCTTCCAGCTTTGACAGCACGTGCGCCCTACACATAAATGGAAATGGGGCCACTGTTTTCCTGTGTCAGGACACCGTCAGCAAAAGTGGGAATACCAACCCACAGGCACGCAACATCCAGTGAGTTCCAATTCCAACACTGCTTTCTCTGCTAGATCAGGTGGCGGTTGACAGAAAAATGACTCTCCTGAAAGTTAATTTGCTAGTCTCAAGTCCGGGATATCATTGGGTATAGAAAAGTCTGCTGCTGCTTTAGAGAGTATTTCACCTATTTTTGAGGATGCTCGTTTCTTGAGAAGAAAAAGTCTCTGATTTCTGGACTGGAGCGTACAAGCAGTTATTGCCAAATCCAGTGTGGGTCTGTGGTTTCCGAATCTGAGATATGAAAAAGGGCCGTGGAGTCCGTGATGGAAGGTCTCAGCTGTCTTATCCTCCTTAGTGCCTGATACAGAGAAGCCATTAAATAAATATTTCTTGAATAAATGAAGAGATAACTGGACAAACAAATGAGCAGTAAATTTCTTGGTGACAGTGGCAGACGAATTCATTTTAAAGACTTTTCCTGGGTCTTTGTGATTAAAAGCCTAACAGAGGACATAGTTGAGAGTGATTCTTCTAAATGCTGTCAAATTTTGCTTAAACAAAGTCAACATATAAAAAAATATGTGTTCACAAAGCAAATAAATTAAAACATGATTATTGCATCACAATTACATGGAAATATGCCTTACTGCAGAGGGTTCCTAAATGTGGGCCCTTGACAGTTTCTCAAGTTCACAGTGAAATGAGAAATATCAGCTCAGTGGATTGTGCTTCATGAGGCTAAATCAATCAATTTAAGATACTGTCCTTTATTCAAAAATTGACCTTTCCCCATTTATGTGATTAAAATACTAAAAAAAAACAACAAATAAAAACAAACCCATAATGGACTAGTTTATGCTAGTTATTCCTTTTTAATGCCCCTATTTGCAAACATAAAGTTGCAGAATCTATATTGGTTCTCCAGGTTTTGGAAAGTATTTTATTGGTTTGTGCAATCCAAGTATTGGAGACTGGCTCCATTTTAAAATAAAATTCATTTTTATAAAAGCATAGAAATATTTCTTTTTAGAAACATATATATTGAATAAGGGAAGATAATATAAACTTGGCCTTAATTATCTATGCTAATAATAGCCAACAAGTGTTGACTGGCTACTCTGTGTTGAGCACTGCTCTCAGTCTTCTTGAAACGTATGAATTCATTTAAATTTCACGGCAGCCCAAGAAGGAAGTATTATTATCCTCATTTTACAGATGAGGAACGCCAAGCACAAAATTCAAGTCTTTGCCCCAAAAGGCACAAAATATAGCTAGTAAGTTGATAGAGCTAGGAATCAAACCCACGGCTCCAGAACATACTTGCACATTCTTATATTAAGAAACTGGGCCATATGACATTACAATAAAAAAAACATTGGTTGTTGTATTCTAATGCCCATACAAATGGAGGTTCAATCACCATACAGATTATAAACTTCTATCCAAGACTCATATTATCTTATATTTAAATTGGAGTCCCTCCCAATCTTATCAACCCAGTTCTTGATGACCTATTTTTAGCTTCAGTGTTTACACAGACATTACTTCAAGCAACATCCTCATTTCTTAAGCTCATGTTTTGATTAGCAAATACTGAAAAACAAAACAAGAAAATATATTTTCAAATGGGGCATTTCAACCAAGTATGGGAGGAAAGCATACATTCAAATACAGTCATTAAGTTAATTTAGGGCAAATTCAAGTAGTAAACATATAGAAAACTGTATTTCAGTTTACCTGTTAAAATATATATGGCTGACATATATACATAAATGTGTGTGTGTGTGTGTGTGTGTGTGTGTCTAACCCCAGCTTCCAAATGTAGATACCCCTCCCAACAGTTGCTTCTTACTTAAAATGAGAAGATCCCAAACTTTAGTGGGAACTCATATATTTCTCTGCAGTGTCAGACTGGCAAATATAACATCATTGGGGCAAATAGGCAAATCAGAAAGTAAAATTCATCACTGATGAATCAAACTAGGCGTTTTGACTACAATGGAAAAAAAAACTTCCAAATTTGCAGTAAATTGAATCAAAGGCAATAATTTTGTCTTTCAAAACACTCTTGGTAGTGGTGAAAATGAATGTTTGGTTAAATATAGGCTCCTATCATACCTTCTGTTTAACACCATTTACCAACATATTGCACTACATTAAGGGATTTGTCATTTTATTTCAATGATAAGGAAAAGAAATTTTAAAAGTAAAAAGTCCTGGGTCCCTCAGAGAGTATCAGCGATTGAAGAGGCCCTGGAGCTTCTGCAGTTTAAGGAAATTTTGCGTCTCCAACCCTCAGTCCTGGAGTTGGGGCGTGCACATCCAATCTGAATACCTTGTTACCCATACAGGACCCTAATTTGACGCTGCAGGTGACTCCTGCAAACTCTTCTTTTTCAACTTGCTGGCTTCTGCTCAAGATCCATCCCTAGTCCACATGCCCTAGTAAAACACAGGAACCAGTTCCAGGACATAGTTATCCACCGTGTACCCCACGATCCTCCGGAGACTATCCTCCCGCCCCAAACCCCGCCCCAATCCCCGCCCCAGCCCCAGCCCCAGCCCCAGCCCCAGCCCCAGCCCCAGCCACCACCCAGGCCCAGCTCAGCGGGACCCAGCCCACTACCATCCCGCACGGGCTCCCCAAACTTTACCCGCCCACTGGGCCCACGTGACCAAGACCCGCTCCATGCTCCACCAATCAGCAACTACCTCCGTCCAGTACCCGGTCTTCGACTCTCCCCTTTCAAAAAGGCAATTTACTCCTCCCGCCCTCAGCCCCGCCCCCCTCCCCGCCCCGCTGGTCCCTCCCACTTTCCCAACTCCCCACTCTCCCCCCGCCCCACCCCGCTCCCCGCCTTCGCCCCGCCTCACCTAGGGTTGCGCGCTAGTCCTCTTCTCGCGAGATTTGAGCGTCCCTGCCCCAACGCGGCGGCCGTCCGCCGCCTCCTCCCGTCCTCCCACCTCCCTCCCCCCAGTCTCTCCGCTCTCCGGCTCTCCTCCCTCCCTCCACCCCCTCCACCCTCTGGGCCGGATCTCGTCTCGCTGAGGCGGAGGAGGAGAAGGAGGAGGAGGACGTTCGGCTTGCGCAGTGAGATGTTTGTCCGTCGCCGCCGCCGCCGCCATCGCGGAGGAGCGCGATAAAGGGAGCCGAGTCGGACGTGAGGGGGACCCCGCGGAACAGCCGCGCCAGCGCAGTACCCCCAACCGAGCCTCAGACGCCGGAGCTTCAGCTGCCGCCGCCCCCACCGCGGCCGCCCAGGGGCCGGCCAGCTCCCCAGCCTAGCCCGGGGGCCGCGCCGCCGCCCCCAGCGTCGCCCCTCTCCTGCCCGTCCGCCTTAAATGTGACACCGGCGCCTCGGAGAGCGACCCACAGCCGCGGCCGGGAGGGTGCGGGCACCATGTCGAATCTGAGCAAAGGAACGGGCAGCCGGAAGGACACCAAAATGCGGATCCGGGCCTTTCCGGTGAGTCTCTACTCGGTACCCGGGACCCCGGGGCCGGGGGCCCGGCTGAGAGCCGCACGCGAGGCCCGGGCTGAACTCCCTTAACAGGCCGCAGGCCCTGTCTCCCCTCCCCCACGCCGCCGGCCGCGGGGCGCGAGCCTTCCCGGCACCCCTGCGCGGCCGCCCTCCGGGGCCTGGCGGTTCCCCGCGCCCGGCACCGCGCCCCCGCGCGGAACTGTTTCAGCCGCCCCGCGGGCGTCAGTTGTGGCCGGGACCCCTTTGCCGGTCCTTGCACCTTTCCCACAGGGCTGTAGCCCCAACCCCTAGTGTTCTTCTCACCTCTCACTTCCTAGGACTCCCAGACCTGCGAGGATGGGGACAGTTGAAGTTCTCCTTGTGTGCGGTCTGTGTGTAACTTTTCACGTGTGGATTCGCTGTGGTTTCACAAAATAACCCAGCCTGAAAGACGGCCACCCGGACCTTTACGCTGATGAAGGGGACTGCCCTTTTTCTCTCTCCCCCAGTCCTCAGGAAGCGTTATGCTATCAGCCTACCCCCGACGCAGGGACAGGGGTTCCTCGTAATGCTCAGTAGTGACACACCGATAACCTCAGGTGCATTCACAGCGTCTTTCACACACAAGCTTCCAAAGCACTTTACAAACTCTTGTGCAGGAATTGCCTCCTCTCCCGTAGGAGGGTCAGGAGAAGCAAGCAGGAACAAATTGGACAATCAGTTCCCCATTTCTTAGCCCTGGAAGCCCAAAAGAATGAGTAGTCACTGCCCTGGGTTGCTTTCCTCTGTAGGGTTTAGTGACAGACTGCAAACATACGCTGCTTAGAAACTTTCTCTTTTTAGCCTTACGTTGAGTCGTCCACTTGTGGTGTTCAGCATATAGGGTGTAACTTTGGATGCTCCATCTGACTCAGGTAGTCAATGGCAAGCACGCAAAATGTTCTGTTGTAACAGAGCAATGGACGTACTTGTTCGTATCGCTGCAGTAACACGGATATATCAAGGTAGACAAACTAACAGTTGAACAGAAGATTTTAAAACAGTAAAACTAGAGAAAGATCTTGGGGTTTCATTTCTAAGAATCATACACATCCTATGGGGAGGAGAAAGGGGCTTTGTACTCACTTTTTAAAGCACGAGTTTTCTAAAGTGGAGTTTTCAGCCGGGAAAGACTTTATTAATAATATAGTTGTCATAGTTAAGAAAGTCACCCAAAGAACTTGACCTCTCTGAATTCTTAAAATTTAAAAGAATACACCTGATTCAGACTTCTGAAATTGTAATAATAAATATGTACCAATGTCAGTGTGTGGAGACTTCCTGCTCTCTGTACATATGTGGGATATACTCAGGGGAATTAAGTGTTTTGAAGGGATTCTTCAATATTTGAAGTTTTTTTCTAAGTAAAGGTGAGAAACTACAAAGTGAGAAATGTTGACAAAAGAGCATGGAATTGAACAGTGAACTATGTTGATGAATTTGTGAGTAATGTTTTCCTACTAAACCAGTGCTGACCATTTTTTAGCAGAGTTTAGAATTATTTAGTATTTTAAGTAATATTATACAAGTTTTCTAGGAAAAGTTTGCTGCTCTTAGAGTGTGAGTTCTTCTACCTCAGATTATTGCTGAAATGTGGGATAGCTCACGTTTGACATCAACTCACTCAACATTCTGATTAACCTATGTAGTGTCAACTCTTTGGTCTATAGCTTTGCTTGTTCCTGCCTGTTCTCTCATTTTTTCATTCATTCAAGAGATGCTGAGTGCTATGTTTCAGGCACTGTTCTAAGGACTTGGGATATATCAGTGTAGCTTGAAAGACCAGGATTGCTGTTTCTGGATGTTGAATTGTTGGGAGAAAATTTCATTATTCCTTTAGTTGGAGAGTATAATATATGATAGTACTGAAACAGATTTTTTTTAAGTAGCATTATGGTTATGAGCTGATTTGGATCCTGTCTCTAGTTTGTTGCCCTCTAAGTTTTTCAAAATCCTTTAATGGAATTTATGACTAGTGTTCAATATTCAGTAGTTAATGTCTGCTGATTTTTTAAAAAACCATAGATTTTTTCATTATTCCTTCATAATTATTAACATCATTCATAACTAGTTCCCAATGACAAGAACTATTATAGTTTTTTAATATGTAAATTTTAAAGTCACAGTTCCTTGAGCCTTTATTAAGATATAGATGTGCCTCAGTGGTACAGTATTTCTCACTGGTAAATGAGTACTTACAGGCATTTAAAATTTTTTGTCCAGGTCAGTAATTTTTGCATAACTATAGTCTGCATTGATTGCTAGTTAGAAGTAGTAAATATGTAGTGTTCCATAAAGAAAAAAATATTGTTTATGTGTATACCTATGTACATACAAATGCTGTATTTTACATTACCATTTGGACATATAGTTACTGTAATTTAAGGGAAATTATAGTTTAACCAGAAGTCTGCAGTACTCATTTCAGATTCTGTTCTATAAAATTAATAAGTAAAATGTATAAAAATATGTTGGGGGATTGTTTTGTTTTCATTGCAAAGGAGTGGTAAGTGACCTAACAAGATCCTTTATAGTCGTGTAAGCCTATTCCTGATAGAGTCCTATCAGTAGAATCAGGTTCTTTTTAGTATTTTGAATGCATATTTTAAGTGTGCTTTCATCATTGGTCACAAAAATAGAAGTTACACCATCCAGTTTTATGTACAATTTACATTTTAACTAGACTTTTTCATAAGATTTCAAGAGAAATTGGTTCTTTTTAAGGTGGATAACAATAAGGAACTTTCTATATTTATAAATTGTTGATAGAGGAAAAGTTTATTCCAGTTTTTAAGCTTTCCTGCGGTGTTCAAAATACGTCATTTAACATCTTTTTGGTTTTTTTGGATACCCAAAATGGCAGCAAGGGCTACAAAACTTTTTCAAGGAAGGAGGTTGTAGTTGCCAAACTCCTGGAAACTATGGATTTGGGCCAAAAAAATGCTGCCCACCAGAAGTTCCTGCTCTTCTTTCCTTGCTGTTGCCACGTGTCTCACTCCTGAGCTTTTGTTCCACTATGTAGGATTACTTGCTGTCAGATGAACCTTCTGTTCTTATCTCTGAAAAGCCATTCCTCATCATCTGTACTGTCCAGGGCTTTGTCCACATGAGCTTGAGAAGTTGGTTGGATTGGAGGGGATATATTTGAATCGAAATGCTGGCCTGTCCTTCAATTTGCCTTAATTGGCTTAGCCATCAGAGTTTAAGATATTTTGAAAGTGCTTTGTCTTTAGAGTGTGATCTGGAAATGGCTTCAGTTGCTAGTCTGTAGAAGCATGCTAATCATGATAAAGAATCTCTGATTGTGACGTCTGTTCCATCATTCTAGATGAGTTTACCAGAGCTCTACCTGTGTGGCTTGGACAGGGGATGATGTGGAGGTTACTGTTAGGTGGAACCCACAAAGTGACTGACATTAGTAAGAGATTAAGTTTTAAGATTATTTTTGATATATGTAAGGGCATAAGAACTTTTAACAACAAATGAGGGCAGTTAATGTTTTTGTTTTTCCTAGCTACCTAACATTTGCCAGATTTGGGGGAACAGCTTTGATCTTCATACTGGGTTTCCCTTAGGGAAAGTAATTGTCTAGAACTACCTGGGCTCTACATACAGGAAACCTGAATAATAATAGTTTTTGCAAATCACACAAGGTGGGGAATTAACTGTTAAGTTTGTTTTTCATGCTCTAGTATTTCCTTATAGAGAAATTCTGGAGTAAAGTGTAACAGATTCATTAAAGGGTTGCTTATACTTAGACTGATTCTTTTTAATAGTTTTAGGACAGCCAGCTGTAGTGTAGCTGTAAGAAGTTGAAAAATAAAAGTATAAAGTAATTATCCATAAAGTGCTTATTTTGTATTGCCATCCTAGATAACAGTTCAGAGGAACCTGGAAAATTATTAGTGCCAATATTGAATTTGAAACTATTTTTGGTAGTATAGAATATAACGGTGAGAATTTGTCCTTTAAAATTCTGTATTGGCCACAAGGATGATTCATTCAAACAAAATAGAGAAGGCTTCATTTATTTGTATATACAACATTCATTCATTAAGTAACCGCCTTTTGTCTAGTTTAGGAAGATTTTATAATTAAGACTAGATCAAGTAGTATGGCTTCCCTTTGTATTATAAATTAGGAGATCTTAGAGATAGTTCTTTGCTCTTACTGTCATTCAAGATTATCTTAATGTTCTTTAGCAGTTTTATTAGATTTTTATAAAACTTGCTGGACGATTTGTAGTTTTAAATAATGCAACCCAGAATAGTTTGTCCATTGTAAAATCAACAAAAAAAGTAAAGGTGTTACTAGTAAGAACAAGTCACTGAGATGAAATATGAATTACAGTTAGTGCCTATCAGTATATTGTGAAAACTGTTCAATCATAATGTCAAAACAATGAATTCATTTTAGTCCTTTTCTAATTATAAAAACGATACATATTCGTAATAGAAAACTTAATAAATATCTAAATTATAAATAAGGAAATAAAAATTACCTGTAACACTACAGGGATTGTAACATTTTGATGTGTTTCCTTTTAATCTGTCATGCACATGTGAACACACAGTAAAAGTGAGGTACAATATCATTTTACATACTGCCTTTAAAAAATATACCCTACCATACATAACATTTTCATGTTATATATATTGAAAGCATGATTTTTGATGACTGCAATACTCTATAGCACCTCATTTTGCTTAATCATTTCCTTACTGCCAGGTATTTTGATTAATTCTAGTGAATCCATATTTACTCTGTTATAAATAATGTAGCGGTGACTAGGCATATGAATATTTGAGCTCATTTATGATTATGGAATTACTGGGCTGACCATAATTGATATGTATTACCAAATTGACAGAAAGGTAGTAATAATAATAGCTAACGCTCACTGAATGCTGTCATGTGCTTGCATTGTTCTCTTTGCATATATAAACTCATTTAATTTGCACAACTCT